ATCGCCCCGGGTACCACACCCCCGGTACCCCCCTCCCCATGCTCCACCAAGAAGTGTGTGTCGGTATGTTTGGCCAGCCTCGATTAGCCAATCAATCTTTAGGCTTACAAGGCCCGGCGTCTGCCTCGGGGTTGTCTAGACTCGTCTGCTCAGCCGACGACCGGTTGCCACAGCCCCACTGGGCCGATATCCCATCCGGTCGCCACACCCGGTCGACTCGTCTGCCTCGGCAGTGATGACAGCGTCGAAATGGGAAGCCTCGTGAGGGGAGAGACAGTGAAAGAGGCTGCAAGTGGACGCAACAGGGGCGACGGATGAATGGCAGGACAGGAGGTTGGCAACGTGAGAGTGGAGTGAGATCGAGGCAGCCGAGGAGATAACCGAAAATGGAGAAGACACACGAACCAACATCACACCCGAAAGGACAGAACGCGTCTGGCCTGGCCGGCAAGAAGGAGGGATAGATGGGCCAAATGAATGAGAGATGATTGCATTGGATGAATTGATAGATGGACGGATAGAGTGATAGAGGGTAGGAATTGGTCTATTGGATTGGTGAATGTGTGATTGAGTGAACGATTGAATGATTGAAAAAGTGCATTTTATCATTCGTCCAGACGGGAGTAGCAGATGAGAGAGGTGAATGCAGAACAAAACCATTAATTCACTTCACTCAACTCCCGCTAAACTTGTCCTCTGCATGGCAGCGTGCAGGGTAAACGGCTACCGCGGCTATGTACAGCAGCTAATCTTAATGGTGGAGCGAATGTATTTGCATTTATCTCAGCTGAGGTGTCTTGGGAATTTGTATTCTCTCGACATTGTTATCGGTCAGTTTCTGGTTGATGGAAGATGCGAATGCCCATATGCTTATGCCGTATTTGTTTGTAATTTGAAGCCGACATGCATTGCCAAGGCGGAAGATAAGAAATTGGTATCGGGCTTGTTGGTATGATAAGGTATAATTGAGTTTTCACCGAAATGCAGCCAAAGTCGCCCGTCGTTTCCAGGCCTGGCGCCTAGACTGCCAATTCAACATGAAGAGGGTATCTGAATTGGCGCATCTTTTGGCAATATTATCCCATCGCCAATTGACCGTTTCTAAAAGCCAGCCGGATTTGGTGCAATTCTACATGGATCCTAAACAAAACCGTTACTGAATAGAATATCAGTAGTTTGAAAAGTTGGACGAAAAAAAGCCGAAATTATGGAATAGAGACAAGAAGAGACGATGATCGACGATAGAAATTGATACGTTTGCACAACAATCCGGCTATTACTAACTGCGAAATCAGTAGTTTAATTGAATTAGCGCAACTTGTTTATAAGTCCGAATTAGCGAAAAATGGCGTCAACTGATTCGCAGCGAAAATATTGTCTGTCAGCCAGTTCAATGGGGATGCAGCAAATGCCGTTTAGCCCGCACTTTTTGTTTTCGGGTCTCGCTTAGGATGCTGCCTTTTGGGCTACCCGAAGAGGTGACATTGAATACAAACTAAGGCCTGCTTTCACTTTATAATGACAGGCCTGGCTGGTAGGAAAATACGGTAATCACTCGAAGCGGGTACAGGTCTACAAGTGGTTACATACACAAAGGCTTCACCTCAACCGGTCTCTTGATGATCGGACACTTTCCGGACCTACAAGCAGTTGCAACCTGATCTCGAGACAATCTTTCGTTCGGGCGGAATAAGAGCTCAAGTATATTGACTCACCAAAC